CAGTATTAAGACTGGTTAAGAGGAAAGGTTGGGCATGAGACCAGCAACCCCATTAGTTAATTCTTGCCTGACACTATTTTCATCACAGAAAACACGTGCCAAGTATGGTATCATAGAATTTTTATACTTAGACGTGCGAAAATACAGTTTTCTGAAGTTACTTCTTTTTCTACCTGAGGAGATGCAAGGTGAAAGCTGAGGGTGAAGTGGATGCTCCAAGTCAGACAAAATCCCTTTAGCAAATTTATTGCACGACGTTAACTATATGGTCCACTGGGAGATCACTTCCCCTACTGACAGTCTTCAGAATTCTACGAATTGTGACAAAGTCCTTTTCAAGCAAACCAGGAAAGAATAAGGGTGAACAATAAAGAAGAATAGGTAGGATGCAAGAGTTTATGAAATGCAGATGAGGAGGGTTTGAGTTATCCCCGAGTGCCTTAACTTCTTAATGTAAAATGTCAGGGGGAATATTTTACTGGAGATCGTTGAGACATGGGAAGACCAGGAGAGATCAGAAGAGGGAATAAGTCCAAGATACCTAATTTCTGATTTAATTCCTATATTATTGATGAAATCCTCCACGCAATCAAACAAAATCCCTACAAAACCAATACTTGAAAATCTTACAACTGTCATGAGAATCGACGGCTTCTTTTAACTGTCGTTTACATCTTAAGCTGAAATTAACAGTTTGACATTTAGAAGGATTCAGTTTAAGGCCATTAGACGAAGACCATTTGCTAATTCCTGAAAGAAAGCTGTTCATCTTAGTACAGTCTAGCTGGGAGTTAACAGCCCTTGAAACTGTTAAATCATCAGCGTACTTCACAATGTTTATTTCATCAGAGTGAGGCAAGTGATATAAGAAAGAAAAAAGAAAAGGAAAGAAAAACATTCTTCTCACAACGTTGTGCGTAGTCTTCTGAAATGCTTCATCGATCTACAGAAGTTTGAATTCACGAGTGCTAATCCATTAACTAGATTTCGTCATAACCCAGAACTTGTACAAAATAAAAGAAACAAAAAGCAATTTCTGACAAAGCAACATATACCTTTTAAGTGTCTGGCTCTTCCTTTTCTCTTTGATGTTTAGCTTATCTAACGTGTAATATAAAGACAACGCAAAGACACATGGTTTTTGTGTCATTTATGTAAAATAGGTTATGATAGCGGCTTAAAATTGTAGTTATATAACCTGCCTACACTACACGATAAATTACAATAGAGGAGGCAAAGAGAAAGTGCTATGGGGCTTTTCCTTGTCTGTATTTATTCCTGTATCAGCGTGTGTTTGTGTGTTGCGGAGGGGCTTGTCTGTGCACTCAAGCGTGGGTGGGTGTGGGTGTGTGCGTGCTTGTGTGACTGTGGCTCCAGATACTCTCTCTCTTGTTTGTGTAACTATAGTCACAAAAATCATATCAGCCATCTTTTCCGATGTCAGTTACTAAATGAATTCAGCATATATTTATCGTGTATTTATTTATTTTTTATTTACTCAGTATAAAATTAACATAATTATCCCAGTACTTTTTTGTTGATTTTAGAAATGTTCTTTTATTCACTATTGAAATAATAATAATAACAATGATAGGCGTGATGTCTAGTAGACGATGGTTGAATGTGAAGGTGAAGGCGAAGTTGTAGTCATGGCGGGATTCGAACGGCGTAAAGTAATCTATCAGTTGAATTATCCAACTACTAACCACGCCATGCCATTCCAGTGTATTCATCACAAGTAACTACAATACAGTTATCACTTGGATCTCGTCATTGAGCTAGTAGAGAACTAGGCTAGTAGCCTGGAGTCCCCTGGTTCGAATCCTACTGTGGCTGATAATCTTATCACATATTCAGTCATCGCTGATGACTCTGGTCCCTGAGAATTACCCAGTCATTTTAAGGCTGAAATGTTTCAAAATACTCAGGTCACTTTAAATTCTTGTCTGTGTATTATAAAATTAAATGTAGATCGATCGACTGAATCGGTGGTCTGCGATTTCTTCTGTTTTTTTCTTTTGCCTTAATCGCTAGATACTTCCTGGAGTGTGGTTTAAAATCCCAACCAATAGCTGTCTCCTCAACGTGGTGGTTGGGCTTGCATATTGTAGTAACCTAACGAGTTACACCAGATGAAACAAATGTTCTCGCAATTCCTATCATGACTGGAAGGTCATTTGGATAACATTTAGACTTAAATTAGTTCTTATTATTGTATAAGGCGTTTACAGTATGTTGAGGGTCTGAGGATGAATTGTACAGAAGTTTGAATCGCCACACTCCATGTAGCACAAAGCAAGAGAAGAAAGTAAAAAAGAAATGCAAAATAGAGACAGTAAACATAGATATATAGCAAAAAGAATAGTAATATCGAAGGACAATATAGTTTCATTGAATATTATAAGTCACAAGGAGTGGATGCATCTGCGCCAGACACTGAGAACGATTTTGAGCCATATCACCAATTGTCTCCAGCCATCATTGGTTTTTACTGTCCCAAGGAACCCAACCAGTCAGCCAGCCATTCTACACCTTCCTACGTGGCTGGACTAAACTAACTGTTATGGATTTCATTGACTGATGAAGCTATGTTTTAGTTTGACCACCACTAGTTCTTTTCCAATCTGATCCGTCCTATGTCAGCTAACATTTCCCATTGTCGAGGAATGCAGGCGATGACTAGACATGCGTAACACATATCCTGACTATCTCAGTCGATGTAGCTTCACAGCCTCGTCGATTGATTTCCCCTCCTTACCTACCACTAGACGCCTAAAGAACCAAATATTGCTCACCCTATTACACCTACCACCTAAACGCGGGAGATAGAACGCAGGCATCTATGATCAAAGACAGTTAGCCAAGCTTCTCATGTCCTCCACTGTTAGTGGCCAGGTCTCGCGCATCCATAAAGGAGGACAGAGTGAAGTGCTGAGCAGTGCGTACGCCCTTCGTTCGACAGCCAGCTGGATATCATGTCTACGCCAGAGACGGCGTAAACTAGCATATGCAAAACTAGCCTTCTATATCCGTGCTAAGATTTCGTCAGCTATCAACCCTGTGGGGTTGACTGATGCAACTTCCCAAATGAGTAAAGTGAGTGGTCAACACGCTCCACCAACCACTTCACCCCCTATTTCTAAGCTAGGAGTCAATGTAGTCAAGTCCTGTAGCATCATTTTACATTTGACAGCATGAGCGAATCCCATGCCAAACATTGGTAGATTGCAGCTCAAGGTCTCCGGAAGACTTTGCTCTATTTTGCCAGCTTCTTCACCCATGAGGGAGGACTATATCATCTGCATATTCTAAATCAACGAGATTATTCGCTTATGGTAACAAGTCAGTCCCTGAGTCGCTGAAGTTAGTTAGAGTTAATTCCATTGATACATCTATGATGAAATTGAATAGAAATGGGGATACCTGGCATCCCTGTCGGACACCACTAGTTGTCACCAGTTCATATGACAACTCACCGTAAGCTCTCACTTGGCTGCATGAAAGTAGGTGTGTAACAGCAGCAAGGGTGTCTCCCTAATACTACCAGCAAGCTATCTGTTCTGTTTTTCCACTGTGGAGAACAGGGTTAGAAATGTCAACCCGAAATTGCCTTGCAGCAGTCCATAGGTGGTAGTAAGTTTATCATACGGAGAGAGTTCCACAAACCTATTCAAACAAGTGGTATATGACGGGCTTTAAATAGTTGTGTCTTGGGCTCTGAGATTATGTAACACCAATGCTATTTCTGTCTTGGGTATTTCAAGCATTCACTTTCGTTCAGTATCTTAGTGAAATATATATATATAACTGTAGTTTTAGAAGTGGAATATATAGGCATTATTGTGAACTTTATTGAGTGAGATGCAAGAGACCTGACCGACTGATTGGCGAATAAGTGTAGAATCTCAAAAAGCGGATGTTATTTTGACAGAATTCACTGGGCATCTGCAAAAATTTACTCTTAAATTACTAAAAACCCTAATCACCTTTATACATAGTTAATATTGAAAGTTGATAACTTGGCTGACAGCTGCAGTGTTTTTGTTTGACCACGCCTAATTCTTTTAACTTAATCTTACTTCAATAAAGCTTATTAGTTGAATAACGTGATAGACAGCTCATCATGTTCAACAAGCAGATTCGAATCTGACAGGAGTTATGAATTCCTTTGAGGATGACAAACATATCTTGCTGACGAGTGGCAATAAGCACGAAATCTAGTTGTTTTGGACTTCCTGTCGATTACCTCCAACCATACAACCTTAATACTTCACACTTAGTCAGATGACTTCATCAGTAACTTACAGAGCACCTAATTTAATGATTACCCATCGTAACACTGCTAAATCAATACAGCTAAAGTTGAATAAAAGACTCTAGTCTGTTCATTGCAATTGTAAATGTCTTATAGATATCATCGAGTGAGGTAACTGAACTCCTGTACACTGTACACATCGTTTAATGTATGACCATATCAGTAGAGTGGAATGTTTTCCAATACCACCACCTTCCCCCCCCCCTCGATTTTCAATAATTCTCTCGAAATCAACCAAATGCTTGTAAACCAGCATTTGAAGATCAATCTAGCTGTCATTAATGACTGACTACAGAATGAAGTTGTCTAAAATCCCAGAAACAGCTCCACCAAGATGGATTTGAGGACAGAAACCCGTCGATGGCACCGACTGGTGATTACATCATACATCTTTAATTTACAGAAGTTAGAATTCATCGTGGGCTACTGGATAACATTCCAGTGGCTGCATTATCAACGAGCCTCCCTTGTACCCTGTAGTTCCTGAGTTCACTCCCTGAATGCATACCGTTAAAGAGGCCCAAAGTGGGACGAAACAGCTGTCCAGAACCGCCTGGTGCTTTTCAATGCTTCTCTAGCTGAATTGAGTTTGTTTTCAAACACTTGAAATACAAACTATTGTTAGCACAAAATATTTTTAAAAAAAATATTGTCTTATACAACAAGAAGTATGATCATAATTTACCTGTCCCTTTGTCGTTGTCGGTTGTAATGCATTAGGCGTACAGCAGACTGTCATATGTGCTGGTGGTATCCGACGTCTTGCCTCACTAACTTCTTCTATTGTTTTCAATCCATTTGGCGAGGAAATGACAACAGGACAATTGGCTGTATTAGCAAGGAAGATGATTTTTTCAATTGATTTTAATTCCAGCTAATATTTGGAAAGAAAAAGAGAAGTAAAGCAAAGTAGAAAAAGGAGACAAAACAGTTTTGAAGAAAATTTACATCGATTAATACTTTATGTGATAAAAGTTATTATTTTAAGTTTGATCACAGATTGATATCAGTTAGAGCACCAAAGTAAGCCAGGGAGTACTGAAAAGCTGCTTCGTCCTAGTTTGAGACCCATCGAAAGTACACACCCAACGCCAGGGTTTGAACCTACTACTCCTTGCTGGTTTTCAATGGTTATCTAACTGACATCAATCCGTGACCAAACTTTGTAAACAAATCAGATCCCTACAAACAAACTCATGAAAAGTTGTTATGTAATAAAACATAAATTATTCGGTATCCCTCACTGGATATCCAACTAGAAAAGATAAGCAACATAGAACTGTCAATTCAGCAAATCAGCAGAGAGCCTATTGCCCAAACATTTTTGACTAAGAAGTAGAGATGAAGTGAACATACCCTATGGAAACATCCAAGTGACGTGGCTTCTCAGGCCTTCTTGGGTGGAATCCGAATAGGATAGGAGACTATGGGTGAAATAGAGAAGATTATGCAGCGAGGTTATAAATATTTGTGGGTAGTTGTAGAGGTAGCTGAGTGTAATGAAAGAGAGACAAGTGCAATGAAGATGTGCGGTGAAGGCTCTGTATTCCACTTACAAGATAAAGAGCCAACATATTAACATTCATTTATTATTTATTTTATTCCTGTGTGTTCTGTAAACGCAGCACAGATCTTCAAACATGGAGGTTTTAAGTTCCAGTAGCAGTGGAATAAGGTTGCTAGTCCCATGCGCAACCATCCCTGTTATTCTAATGTACTTTCAGCTAAGCAAGGCTGAAGAGTATCGCCAGGGGGTCAGACGACAGATTACTTGCGGTGCGGTTGGTCAGAACTCCACCGCTAAACCACTGACTCACCAGAGCGCTCCACTGCCGTCTGAATGGAAGCTATGAAGCCTGAACATTCACTTATGCGATCTGATAGCATTTATACATGATTTCTAAGTATAGGTGAAGTTTTGTTTCTAGGAAAATGATACTTAGAACTTCGTCTTAACTGACAGTTACAGTGAAGCAAATATTTCCGACATAAAACAACAATAAAAAGAGGTAATTTATCAGAAACTTTGTGTGTCACGAAAAGGATTTCCAACAAGGTAGTGACAGACTTTTATCAACAGCTGCCACCTTCGCTGGCTGGCTCCATGCTGAAGATCAAATCGTCAGAAAGAATTAGCAATAAGAAACTCTGGCTGGGAAGAAACCAAACAAGAGCCGATTACTAAACAGAAATGTAGGAGGAAATGGAGATTGATTGGTCGGGTATACGTTGAGGAAGCAGGCCGTCGAACGATATCTTGCGCAATGCAGACCATCGCTCGATGGGAATCCAAATGGGGAATCGAACGCAGCAGATGTACGTGGCTGGTAAGGCCTCTACCATAGAAACACAATGTCAATAGGCGGTTTGCAGCTTGTTTAAATTGAGTTATCAACCTCATTTAAGCGTTGTTTCGACTATCTGATTTCACTATTGGAAGAGAAAAATCAGTCGTAATCTTAATTAGCGTCACATATTTTCATTCATAAATTGACATCAGGCACCGAAATGTAAGCAGATATCTACTAGCGACTGCCTTATGAACTTTTAAATTATTCCTGCCTAGTGGTTTACTACCGTGTTAAATATTCCTTAATCAAATTATCCAGGTCATATTTTTGCATAATATAAATTTTCTGTCGTTGGTTTGTAAGGATTACTTTTGTTTTTCTACGAGTTGATCACGGATTGATATCAGTTAGAGAACCATTGAAAACCAGCCACAGGGAATACTGAACAGCCAGCTGTTTCATCCTAATTTGGGAATCCTTGGTAGTACGCACACACTGCTAGGGTTCGAAACCGGGAACTTCCAGTTTCAAGGCAAGCTGGTTCGTATACCGATTCCGCTGTCCAGTACTCCCCCCAAAGCTGGTTTTCAATGGTTCTCTAACTGATATCAATCCGTGATCAACTCGTAAAAACATAATATAAATCACAATTTTTAAATTTTATTTTGATGTCACTTCACTAACTACAAGTGGATGAGTAATGCAACTTCCTTTTTCAGTGAGTAGTAATCACTCAGCCATATTGTCAAGCTATACGGTCAATATCTAAATTCCTATTGGTCTGATTCAATATTTCACCGATCAAATAAACAGTACTTCAGGTCACTTTTTTTCTCTCGAGATAACTTATAATGATTTCTGTCTTGAATCAAAAAAATGCTTATCATTTCAAATTTAAATTCATACAGAGAAGAGATTAGACTTTGATGAGTCGTGGTGTTTTATTTGCAAGTGTCGGTTAGAAAGGATTTGGTTAATTTCAATTTAGGTAATGAAAACCACTAGACAGTTGTTTCGTCCCAGTTTGAGACTCTTCAGTAATGCATAGTTGGGTGAGCTCGTTTACCTTTCAGTCACTTGTAGAGCTGCCAAAAGGCAGTCAGTTCTAACTTCTTCTGATTCGTGGTGTCTAGGTCCGCTACTAGTTATTGCCATTGTTGAGTATTGTTTCTCATACCCAACTTCGTAAGTCCCATTGACCACAATTTCCCACTAGCACTATTTACAATCCCCTCCTGTTGTCAGTGATTAGTGATAGCTCAATTAAGTTCCAAGTGTTGGTTTGCAGGGGTTTTATTGATTCCTATTGTGGTCAGGAACCATTGGAAACCTCCAAGGGGTAGTGGAGAGTTGTTTTGTCCCAGTAGCTGAATGGTCAAAAAGGTCGCCTTGTAACCTTTAGGTCCTGAATGAAATATTTGTATTCGTCGGTGGTTCAGTGATAGAATGGTAGAGAAACACTCACGCGGTTCAGGGTGCGATTCATGAACAACACACTCGTAGACCTTGCTTAGCTGGTAATGACTCCGGTGAAGAGGGAAGGCTGGGTAGGAGGCTAGGAACCGCGTCCATAAAAAGATACCACCACTACTGAAACTGAAGAGTTCAGAGTTGAAATCTTGTGCTCGCCAAGGGAATGCAAAGGAATGAATTCATTGCCAAGGATGGCTAATAGACGGTCCATAAAATTAACATTGGAAATAGGATTTACCCATATAAGGTACGTAATCATGTGAAATGTTATTCATCCAATAAAAACCCCAACAAAGTTGCTGAATAATTTCACCGACGTTTATGGATTTATTCATCTATCCTCTTATTTGATTTTGCTGTTGTTTTAGACAAATTTCTGTTGTTGAGGAAATAATTTCAATTACTCATTAACGTCTCCTCCTCACGGAGACAGTGTTATTATTACTATTATTATTATTGTCTCCTTTAATTCCTAGAGGAACATAGGGCTTCAGCCGTGCGTCACCATTACGTTCGGTTCTCTGCTAGAGTCTTCACCTGGCTCCAAGTCTTCCAACACATTTTCATCTCCTCTTCACATGACCTCCTCCAAGTCACCCTTGCACTGACGACCAACTCGCCGCCGCTTCCCTTTTGGGTTCCACTTGATAGTTTCCTCAGAGTATGGCCAATCCATCTCCATTTCCTTCTGCCTACTGGTGATTTCCAAACTAGGATGAAACAGCAGCTGTCCAGTACTCCCTGGTTTTCAATGGTTCTCTAACTGATATCAATCCATGATCAACTCGTAAAAACATAACTAACCCTTACAAACCAAACTATAGTAAATTAATCTTATTCTAGTTTCTACCTGATTATCGCTTTCTACATTATGCAATTTGTTATCCGAAGAAATTACAATTCTAATGACACATTGTTGGAAATTTACCATGTATATCTATGCGATTATACAGGTTGAGAATGATATTGCCGAAAAGATTAACTCCTCACTGAAAGTCTTTTCTTTTATATGACTCAATGGAGATCTTCAAGTTATCTTCTTACACACTGTTAATGTTTGCAACTGTTGGAAGCTCTAAAGACTAAGGCTTAAATTAAGTCCATCTTATTGATTTCTCGTAGATAAACACTACAACTCTTTTTGAAGTAACCAAGATCCTATTGGCTAACAAATATGCCCGGCGAAGTGTAGATGGACTGGACACATCCAAGTGACAACACGCACACAAACAACAGGAAGCTGAGAGTTGTATATCAATAAGTGACGCGGAGAAGATCATGTTTAAAGGTGATGAAAGCTTTCGGGCAATTGCAAAACGATCTGACAGTGATGATACAGAGATCAGTGCAGTAGAGATGTAGACATGTAGAGATGACGACAATGATATAGGAATTAAATCAGAAATTAAGTATCTTGAATGGTAGCATAAAAATAAATTTACATAGAAACAGTACTTGGACGGTACAATATACACACTTTCATAGCTTCGTTCCCATCAAATACAAAAGGAATTTAGTGAAGACCCTTAGCCACAGAGTTAGAGCTATATGCTCTGAAGAAGTAATTAGAGATGAATTAAGCGTGGTATATGATACTTTAATCGAAAATGGTTATCCTGACAAATTTATCAAGAAACATATGACAAAGAAAGCAGAAAAGGACTACCCACTATCTGTAAACAAGAAGCCACTTTATATACGACTGCAGTTCATGGGCGATATACCAAGTGAGTTAATTACGAAGAAATTAAGAAAATCAGTTCAAAGAACTTTTAATGCTGGCAAACTATACATCTTATTCTCTACAAGACCGATGGTGCTACCTCGACTGAAAGATGAAGTACCTAGACTAGCCAATTCAAATTGTATTTATCAATTCAGCTGCGCTTGTGGAGCGAGTTATGTTGGACGTTGCTCTGGGAACTTGATTTTTCGTGCTCGAGAACATATCCCACTATGGCTAAGTAAAGGTGTAGTTAAAAGTATTAACAGCTCGATATTAGACCATCTGGTGCAAACCGGTCACAAAGCCAGCGTAGACGAATCCTTCTCCATAATATACCGGGTGCCTAACAAAGTACCAAAATCGTCGAAGCACCGCTTGCTCCAAACAGCAGAGGCTGTTGCAATTCGCCTCAAACAACCAGTGCTCTGTATCCAAAAGAAACAAGTCCAGCCCCTACTACTGCCCTGGCCCTCAGTAGAGACTATAAACTCATGAATTTGTACTATTACCTTTCCTAATTCTTCTGACATTCAGTTTAATTGATGTTGATGCTGTTCAGCTGTAATCTATCAATATTATTGATTTGACGTTATTTAAAAGTTAATGTTGTTCATAACACTAATTCATTCATTCATTATAATGTATATATAATTGTAGAACCTGATGATGAATTTATCGAAAAGAGTACTCTTTGTTCCGTGTCTATCTTGGACTTATTCTCTCTTCTGATCTCTCCTGGTCTTCTCATGTCTTAGCGATCTCCAGTAAAATATTCCGCCTGACATTTTACATTAAGAAGTTAAGGCACTCAGGGATATAACTCAACCCCTCCTCTTATAGTTCATAAACTCTTGCATCCTACCTATTCTTCTTTATTGTTCACCCTTATTCTTTCCTGGTTTGCTTAAACAGGACTATGTGACAATTCGTGGAATGCTGAAGACTGTCAGTAGGATGAGTGGTGTCCCAGTGGACCACATAGTTAACGTCGTTGTCGATAGGCACTTGACTTCGTGCAATAAATTTGCTAAAGGGATTTTATCTAACTTGGAGCATCCACTTTACTATCAGCTTTCACCTTGCATCTCCTCAAGTAGAACAAGAAGTAACGTCAGAAAACTGTATGCTCGCACATCTAAGTATAAAAATTCTATGATACCATACTTGGCACGTATTTTATGTGATGAAAATAGCGTCAGGCAAGAACTGACTAACCTTTTTTCATCTAGTAAATAAACAATCTCCTCCATCCATCCATCCTTATAAACCTTCAGGTTTTACTTTGATTATTTCTATTATATTTATGGTCCTGTTGCTTCTTCGTTTTACTTTCATAATTGCAAACACCAACTTATCTCTATGACTGCTGTAATCTTTGCTTTTTCCCTCACCATATAATTTAAAGAGAACATTATATTCAATATTTTTAAACATGCTAGGATTTCTATACTGCATCGACAATACTGTGTGAAACAAGCCCACGACAATTTTCACTTTTATTATTATTATCATTACCTTAGCTGTTATCATTACTATTATTTCCATTTTATATGCTGCATTTTTTTGACATTACACACCCCTATTGTAAATGTGGAAAATTTTCTGTGTGATTAATTTTTATTTATAATTTGAGGAAATTAGATGCAATATTGTGATTAATGCTGAAAATTGCATTCTGTATCACAAGTACTGTTTTTGGAATAAAATAAATTATTATTATTATTATTATTAAAAAGATGAAGGTTCCACGTTCTACTCATAACAGAAGGAATGAATTATATGCATATATCATATAAATAAAAATAATATTTCCACTATTTTTTCTAAAACTTACATCATCTTTATTATCCAAATTTGAGGTTTTCAAATAGGATTTAATGAATACAATTGAACCGGATTCTTTACACTTTTCTAGGGCTGCTAACAAATTTGTAATTAACACAGAATCTTTGTTTGTTTTATTCATTTCAACTGGATCAATAATAAACTATTCGTGGTTGTTTAAATTAAGCATGGGCGGGGAAAAAGAAAAAGAAAACAAAAAGTGAAAGTGTAATTCAAAAATTGAAAACGAAAATAATTGAGGGAATTTTAAAAAAAGTAGAAATAATAATTTTGAGTAGGACAATGAGAATAAGTCCATCATGGGGTAGATTTATTTATTGAAAATAAAATTACACAGAGATGCAATGTTCTTTACTTACTGATGACTGACTGGTTTCAACATAGAACTTTGCGAAACAGTCCGAGTCTTGAGGACCCCAACCAGGAAGTCTACACCTTCCTACATGGCTGGCTGCAACTAACTGTTGTAGATTGCGTAACACATGTCCTAACCATCCCAGTCGATGTAACTTCACGGTGTCGTCCATTGATTTCCCCTCCTTACTTACCTATCGACCGAAGACTATCCCCAGTTTCGCTCACCCTATTACGCCTACCACGTAACCTGACACGGGAAGTATAACGTAGGCCCCCATGATCAGAGACAGCCAGCCTTTTCATGTCTTCCTCTCTCAATGGCCAGGTCTCGCAGCCATAAACGAGGATGGAGCGGTACACACGCCCTTTCGTCCACAGCCAGCAGCATATCACGTCCACGCCAGAGACGGCGTAAACTGGCATATCCGAAACGAGCTTTCTGTATCCGTGCCGAGATTTCGTCAGCAGTTACTGATGGCATTTAGAGGACAATTTATTGCCGCTCATTATTATATCAACCTACTCACTGTCATAACTTTTAAGTATTAAAGTGTTGGTTTGCAGGGATTTGACTGGCTACTACAGAATTTCATTATGAGCTGACATCAGTTAGAGAACCAATGGAAAGCCTCTTCGGGAGTACTGGACAGCTGTTTCGCCCTAGTTTAGGACTCTTCAATAGTACGCACCTGCCACCAGTATCTGAAATTAGGACCTTCTGATTATAAGGTGAGCTCGTCAACCAATAAGTAACTTGGATGTGGTCAAGTGGCCAACCCATGAATCCCAACTTCTGACAATTAACTCATGACATTGGCTAGTGGTCAAGCCATATCGCGAAATGGCAGAATTTGGAATTCATGGACTGGCCATCGGATTGGGTCACAGTGGCTTAATGGTCTACCGGCTCACCTCGTGACAAGAAGGTTCTGGGTTCGAACACTGGAGGTGGGTACATACTGATGAAGAGTCCCAGACAGTCCAGTACTTCCAAGTGGCTTTCCAATGATTCTCTAACAGTTGTCAGCTCATGGTGACATCTTATAACTTCTAAAATTTATCTATATAATTCCGTTATATCTTATCCTTTGATTGTATTTTCAGTAATATTTTCCATATCTCGGGTAATGGTGGTGCGTCATTCCTACTACACTAGCTAAAAGCGTAGATTCTATGAAAAAACATTCAGTAATCAATACCTTTCCACCCACCTACGTGTATTACATTTTAGAAATTTACCTAGCACTGTTCAACTATATTATTTTAGGACTATGTGCTAGTGCAAACTTGGAGAATTTGAACTTCGCCGATGATAGATGTCTGACTTCCCATAAAGTGAAAAGCAACAAGTTAGCAGAAGAAGCATCCACAGAAGATAGGACTTCCTTCAGGTAAACATAGAGAAAACAGAGGTAATGAAGACTCCTTGCCAACAGCAACAGCAACAGACAACAATCAGCATAAATGGGAGAAACTGAATCTGAATGGAGCAACCTCCTTCACCTACCTACCTACCGACCTAGGAAGCATTGTTTCAACTACAGGCGGACAAAACTGATGAGGATATCAAAGTGACGATCATCGGAAAAGCAGCACAAGCCTCCACTACTCTGAAGTCTGTGTGGAGTTTAACAGCACTCAGCATGAAAAATGAGGTCCCAATTTCCAACTCCAATGCGAAGTCATTGCTACTTGTTATACGGATCAGAGACTTGGCACTGCACTGCGTCACGAAGGGCATTTCGAACAAACTACAGACCTCCATCAACAGCTGTCTTCGCTCACTACTACTCAAGATCAGATGGCCGACCAGAAAAGATCAACAACAGGGATCGCCACGCGAGGCCATCGCTTAAATGGAACCCGATTGGGGAGCGGCGAGTTGGTCGTCAATGCGAGGATGATATGGAGGAGGTCATATGAAGAGGAGATGAAAGCATGTGGGCAGACGTAGAGCCAGGTGATGAAAACGTTGGTAGAGAACTGAACGCAATGGAGACGTGTGGCTGAAGCCCTATATTCCTCTAGGAATTAAAGGAAACAATGATAATTATAATAAAAATGTGTTAATGGATGCACTGCGGTTGCTGAATTCTCTTCTAAACTATTCATCGCCATAGGATCAGTCATCCCACACTTAGTTAAATTCTTATTTTCTGAGAGTCTAACTTATATAGTTGGCCTCACACTTATTACAAGGTGTTTTGGGTCACAATAGAGGGAGTACCTAAAGCCATAGAGTTTGTCCCTGAGTCTAGAGTTTGTAGGCTTAAATGTCACTGTACTTCCTATTCTTTTAAGGACCCAATTTAGGAAGGATTTCAGATATATTTTCTTTATATGGAAAAAAGTTGCAGATGCTCTAATTTCTTTCTTCCACTAGTATTTTTTATTTTCTTGTGAGATTCTGTGATCTTCTTAATGAATTTTATGGGATAGTTATTTAACAACAGAGAATGAGAAGAAATATTGTAGGCGATAAGATAATTTCATATTACTCCTATTACGTCATCCATATACAACCTGAAAAATAAAATACGTAACCGATCGTTGCGACGATTCCAGCAAAGCGAATTTCCTTTTTGACGAAGTCATCAACTGGGAGGCAAAAAACATTCATGTATTTATAGTCCCAGAGCTATTCCCGATCAAGAGGCAAATCAATAAAATTGCAAATATTTTAACTGAACAGACAGTAGAGTGAGATGTTGAAAACGGAGAGAGCACATACATTAAACAGCAATAACAAAATTATCATCAAAAATGGACACATTTTTTTTTTGATTTACAGCTTGATTCCACACCGTACAAGTGTGGAATTTTCAGCATGGATATCGGTTGCCCAAATTCAGGCATACCATAGATATCGAGTGTGCGCCGGCAGGGGCTCGAACCCCGGACCATGTGCATGGTCGGCAAGAGTCCTAACCACTGTGCCACCGACGCACTTATACTGTATGGATGGGAATGTTCCAGAATATGAAGGTGGACAGACGAAGTACTTCATGATTACCTTGAATTACTGAAGCTATCGCCATCCGAAAAATGAAGCCCCAGTCATTTGTCCACAAAAAGGTTTCTGCTGACTTATTACTCCCGTCAGTAACCACAGACCCATCGAAAGTTGATTATAATGAAGGTTTCTTGTATTTCTCAATGAATGAATGAAAAAAAAACGATATACGCTGTTCTTACTGACGCTTCACTATTGAATGCTGCTGCTAATAGCTTTATCAAAGTGGTAGTATCATTAAACCAGAAGAATTTACAAAATCCACTCAGCTTATATATAACATATGAAAAAGAGAAGACGTTCAGCGAAGAGACTCTTTTCGGCGGCGAATTCATTCACATAGCTGTACAATCGCATTTATATATAATTATTTGTGTGTGTGTGTACATGATGTTTGTCAAATGTTAAGGTAATTGATTAGTTAATACAAGAGTGATGTAATATAGAAACAAAGTTAATCAGATAGCAACTAAAGTAAGATTGAGTTAAAATTAAAACAAATAGTCCCTTTGATAAATTTGAATAAGGCATTAAGAAGAAGACAAATTTCGTGAGATGATATCTTCATTTCGTAGTTTCTTTACAACCGCTTTACAACTAACATGGTTAACAACAATAAAATAAAATAAAGGTCATGACAATTACTCAGTTAAATAAAAAACACAAAAGTACATACTAATGACTAATCATAGTTAGATAGGTCATGTAGTCCAGGGTAGGTAGTAAGCTAGATGACGCAATATAATTGACTAGAATTTGAGCGTTGTTCAAGTCAGTAACAGTGGTAGTGAGGTGTAGAAATTCAATCGGGTGCGGGTAGAGAGCAAGAAAGTTTAAAATGTAAAATATTACAATTGAGAAGACAAAATAATACTAATGAAGAGACAGAAAGAAAAAAAAGATTAGGAAGAATTTACTTGTCGGCTAATAAGATAGATTACGTCCATTGCAAGTGTATTGATTGAACGAACTTCTTCTGTATGCAGAGTTCAGGACTTAAAGCAAGTGAATCGCCATTGCTTCTGCAGTTTGAAGAATTCTGATTCGTACACCTTTAGGAAGACTACTTCTTACTCTGTAGACGACTTTGAAGTTTGTTTGCGGTGTAGCTTGGTGTCCGGATTCTATCAGATGTTCTAAGATGGAACTGTGGGGGCAAGAACAACTTAATCATCGTTCCTCAGCATGGCGGCATTTTTCCGTTGTCAAATTGGCCAACCGGCAAAGATAACAAAACCAGGTGTAGATAACTGTTGGATTTGATAAGTGTATAAGATTATAAAAGCAGTGCGTGTTTACATAATGAAATTACTTATCACATTCGTGTAGATTTTGTTGTTGTAACTAGGTCGAATTCTGTTTTAGTCCATCATCATTCCAATTCAACAGACAATTTGGATTCCACTTAATATGACATGCTTCTCATTTATATTAGACGCTCCTTGTGATTTCTGAAATGCTTTTTCTGGATTATTTCAATATTGTAGACCTATGGCTGATGATTTCTCAGGCTTTTGTACTTCAACCGGATTTCTCGGTGGTCTAATAGAGGCGGCTTTACGGTGTTCATTTCTTCTGATTTTGATTTCTTGCGATTAGCATTAAATAGCAAAAAATCAGTATAAACAACATTGTCGTCTTGTTTTTCATTCATTGAGAAATACAAAATACAGTTTTTGTTCAGCGAAGAATCTTCTTTTCAACGACTTCATTTTCAAGCTGTACAGTAGTATTTATATTACAGAAAAGGTCATTAAGTGGCACTAAATAAT